CTTAATAGATACAAGTGTAAATAAAAACAAGAGGCATTTTTGTCTGTTCGGCCTGATAAGAAATTGTAAATAAAATATTAACTTTTCAAATGAATACTATTGTACAACAATGACTCATTAGTTCCTGTATGTATGATAGCAGACTAAAACTTTTGCCAAACTTCGCTCGAAGACAGCATTGTTGACTGATGAGTCATGTTCTAACTAACATTCATCGATGAAGCCAACTCCATCTCACTAGCTTAAAAGAGTGTGTAAACTTCCTACTTTCTTTCATAGAACATATGTCTATGAAGGTCACCAGTTCGATCTTGGGAAAAGTTTCAAACTCTTTTTGAAGAGTCGAAACTGAAACCTGTCGTCCTTGATCATTGTGTTTATAATCAATGATCCCAGGCGATCAACTGATCTTAAACCAGCAGCAGAGCTATCGTAAAACAAAACACCTGTCCTTAATTATTCTTGCTGTATATTGTGTGGTGTAGAAATTATACGAAAAATACATATAAGAAAGCATAATTATTGTAATTACTCGTATATGAAGTTTATTACTATAATATGGCATGAATGCATCAAATAATATTGTAGTAATGTTGTTATATTATATCCTAACAAAAAACCCTTGGATTGGCTTGGGTACGGAAAGATAACTTGGTTTCGTATTAGTGAATGAGAGAACTACAAATAAGTATATCACTTTCCGATTTTCCTCTGCTGTATCTGGTGAAAAAAAAAACTATGTTTTAAACGGTTCGAATTTATTATAGTACTGTACCTGGCGACCGAGCCATGGCCCGGTACAGTTTATTTCCACTGTACCCATATGACGTCATAGTAATCTTCATTGTGATCTTTGCTCAACAGTAACAACTGATGTTTTCCCCTTTGAACTGTATTTTGCAATTTTGCTAGTATACTGTGGATGGCTTGTTATAAACACATGTTACAAGTCTGTTTACTTTTCCTTGTTATTTTGTTCAACCAACAAAGTTATTTGGCAACCCATAAGGCCGATGTTAAAAAAATTGACTTTCATTTTCATTATTTTACGTAATTAGATTTTTTTGGCAGTTTTAACTGCAGCAAACACGTTTTTAGGCCAGACATAAATTATTTACAACATTTGAAGGAAATTGTCAAAACCGGTTTAGAGTTATTTGTACAAGTGCAACATACAAGCAACATTGCTCATTATAAGAGTATAGGATAGGATAGACTCTCAATACATTTCAAAATCCGTTGTTTAAGAATGTTTATTGAGCTTTGTGGGAAATCTTATTCTTTGGTCTGCTTTCTAAAGAATCTTCGACGAGCCAAGTTGGATGGATAAACAATATTTTAACTGTCACTAAACCTGAAGTTTTCAATGTTTCTGTTGTAAATTATGATTATCCTGTCAAATGATTGATTTACACCTTTCCACGTTTCTTATTATTAAATCAATCGTGGGGTTTCAATAATTACATAAATTATTCATGACGTTAACATTTTTCGTTTACTCATTAAATATTCCAATTAAGCCTTGAATCAAATATTCATACTGCAAATCTTCCTGGTATGAACTTTTAATTAGCAAAGCATGTCCTAAACCAGACTGAAAACTACCTAGAGCTCACTTTTGAAAAGGAGGTAGAGGGCTAATTAATACGTGTTACGGAATTGCTATCACAACAATTTTCCTCTAGTATGAAGTTTAATCAACCAAAACGAACTTGTTTAAATATTCGGATTTTCCTGAAAAGTACATAAATTAAACACGCGTTACAACATAGTTATCACCAAAGTACCGATGAACTTGACCCGGCTATCAATGCGTGATCCGTGAAGCACCAAAATAACTGTCTGACATTGATGTCGAATAATAAACAATTGTTCCGACATCTTCTGAGTGCAATCGAATTTAATTGAAGTAGTAATTTCGTGGTATAGTAAATTGTTTCACTACTTTAACTGATTATAGGCCTAATAAATTTTCTTATTTTGCTACTGAAAGTATATTTTTCATCTATTGGGAAATTTGAAGGTTGCATTGGAGTGTTGTATCAAAGACTTTTAGGATACTGTGCTGAAAATTGACTTAAAGTTGTAGCAATGAATACAATATTCATTGGTTGTAGTCAAAAAGTTGTAAACAACGAACTAATTATTTTTTGCATACAGCCAATTTGCTAAATTAGAAGCTGTCTCTATGCATGTTTTATGTTCTGTTACACATGAGTGAACTAATGTCAACCAACAGTTGTTTTAAAATTGTAACCTCAAGATTATAGGTACTTAATGTTAAAAATTGTGTAAAATATTTTAAAGTTCATTATCTCAAACAGGTATTCATATCATTTTCAATAAAATTTCGTCCTAGTTTAACAAAAACAATTACTTTGCAAATTACTTTTTGGCTATAGTACCGGTGGACAAGTAATTTTCGTAAAATATCTTTTGGTTTGAAAAGTTTGTGAAAAAAATAGTTAACATAAAACACACTCTGAACAAATAAATTGCCTATAGTTTACCCGGATAATGTTTAATGATGTTTGTATGTAAGCTGAAGCATTTTATGTGTTTTATTAGGTGTAATAAATTTCCAGTTGTATGAAATACAAATAAACAGTAGACAAGCCCACTAAAGAGTTGCCTCGATTTAAACAAATTTATGATTAAATGTCAGGGTTTTAAAAGAACGTGATATTAACAATCTGAATATCAATACGGTGACATGAAAATACAAATGCAAAATGTGTTACGGATTTTTAAATAATTAAAGTTTTCAGATTTCAGATGTTCATCTTCACAAGAGAAAATAAACACTCCCGAGAAAATGAAAAGGCGAACAGTCAATAGTCAGTAACAATGTTATACAGGTGTAATATACAGGGTGATTTGTACTCAGTGTGAAATTTTTTTTTTGGTGTAAGTACAAAGTAAATGAAGTGTGATGATGCATATCAAATGTTCCAAGTCTAAAAATTAGCTTCCCAAAAAATTATTTTAAGTTTTTCAAAAATAACCATGTTTTTAAACTTAATACAGTGATTTCTCAATTACCTGTATATGGATTTGAGTAGATAATGTAATTTTCGTGTTCTACATTAAATTTTGAACAAGAATAATAGAAAATGACGGAGGATCAGTTGTAAAAACTCCATTGTAAAAAGATTCAAAGATAAAAATTAAGATGTTTGATAAAAATTTAAAAAAATATGGTCTATTGCATTTTTCACACCCTGTATACAAGAAAGTGTCGGAATATGTTAAAAACTGCGCCATTTTATAAGCTTTCCAACGATATGCTACACTATTGAGGTTTATGTCAGCTTATGTACGCTTTAATGGTTTGAAGACTACAAAGCATGGTGTCTTTAACATTTAAAACACAGAAAGTCGGCATGTATTAAGCAAAAGTTGTATTTTTGTTTCAGCTTGAACAGTAAAAACAGTAAAAAAGTTCTCTGTTTTCTGGTATTCAAACCACTAAAACAAACAAAAAAATATCTAAACCTCAATAGTGTAGCATATGGTTGGAAAGCTAATAAAATGGCGCAGTTTTTAACATATTCTGACACTTTCTTGTATACAGTGTGTAAAAAATGCAATAGACCATTGTTTTTAAAATTTTTATCAAATATCTTAATTTTTATCTTTGAATCTATTTACAATGGAGCTTTTACAACTGATCCTCTGTCATTTTCCATTATTCTTGTTAAAAATTTAATGTAGAACACGAAAATTACATTATCTACTCAAATCCATATACAGGTAATTGAGAAATCGCTGTATTAAGTTTAAAAGCATGGTTATTTTTGAAAAACATAAAATAATTCTTTGGGGAGCTAATTTTTAGACTTGGAACATTTGATATGCATCATCACACTTCATTTACTTTGTACTTACATCAAAAAAATTTTGTCACACTGAGTACAAATCACCCTGTATAACATATCTTCCATTCAGATTCCAGTTAAAATACACTAAAGATGCGTTTCCATCACATAAAAGTTTTATTGGTAGTGATAATTGAAGCCTCCATTCAATATTCACAAAATAAATTAAAACAATAAGCTTACAACAATAAACAATAATTGGAGTTTTGGTTGAGTTTATGTCCCTAATTTAACCTAACTATATATTTTTATTCATTCATGTTTGTGGGTTAGCTCGTATCTATAAAAGTACCTACTAAATAAATGTTATCCTTAACAAAACTGTAAATACAATATTAATGTATATAGGTATGAATAATATTCCAAATAACAATTTACCATTTTCGTGTTTTAGTTGGAATTTAAAATATGATTTTGGGATAAGCCTTCTAACTTATTTGTTGGTTAGGTAAATCAGGTACAGTAAGTCTAGTGGTACAATAATACTGTAAAACATGGGATCTTAACATTGACTTATTTATTTATTGACATTGTGCATACAAATAAAAAATATTTGCAAATTTATATATATAAGTAAAAAAATAAGTACCGTATAAAACATGTACCTATGCTCTTTACGATATACTTGTTTGGATATTATTATTTAAACAGTTTAAATTTATTTATATGCTGTAAAATTTTTATACAATCCACAGTCCAGCTTATTTTGTTAAGCATGTCATAATTAGAAAACAGAACAATATTTTATTATGAAATAATTGCTATCAACGATAAATAAACCAAACAATTTGTTCTCAGTTTTACCAACCACTTCGTTCATGTTAACCTAAAGTAAATAAGTGAGAATGTCATACCAAGGTTTGTTGATGACGATGAGAAAACGTCTAAAATAAAATAAAAAAATAGTAAACAAATTCAAACACTTAATTAATTTTAAATGAATAAAATATCGAAATATATTTTTTGCAAAAATATTTGAGAATATAGACGGCTAAGGAAAACACAAATGAATGGACCAGTCTACAACGATTCTGACATTGCTGAATGTGCAAAACAAACTGAAAACAGCTGATCCGAATAAAAATCAGCTGACTATCAGGTGTGAATGTAAACAAACCTGACCTAGAAATCGTCTTGGCACAGTGGGCATCTATCTGGTGACTCCTTCGACCACTTCACTAGACACTGGTAAAGGATGAACTGGTTAACTGGTTGTCTCCTCTAGTACAAACTCAAACTCCCCCCTTCTGCTGCAACGGGGGGAGCGTACTCACGCACACACACAAGCACGCGAGCAAGGCCGTTATCTAGCATGCACAAGATAAGATAAATTTGTAGACGATTTGTTAAAGAAGAGCCTACCAATGATTGGGTTTGCTGTTTTTTGTACGTCGCTTCTGGTTAAATGTTGATGGTTGAAAATAATAATCACCGGAGTTGATCCTAGATAAATCTGCTGCGTAGAGGATAAGGAATGGCTGACAAATTGATGGTTTTTGTTGAAGTGCATTAAAATAAACTACATGTTAATGCAGCGATGCAATTTTTTGTCTACAGCGTCCTTCATAAAAGAATTTCCTGTATACTATACCTGGGTATTTGGGATGGGTTGGGTAGTGCTCGACTGTACTGTAGCTGGGTCTTTTAGTTGCTAAGTAAATGGGTATAAGCTTTTGTTTGAGTCTTTTGAGATCGATTGTTAAACTTAATATCTCGGATTAATACGAGATAGTCGCATGCACTCTACATATCTCTGTCTCTGTTGTTAACAAAAAAAGGAAGAATTTATGTTTTAACCTCTTATGTGTTATATTTTATTTTGCTGAACGACTTAAAATAAAATTAAATGTTCTGTTAAATTAAAACAGCTAAAACTCGGGTTGCAGATAAATAGGTACAACAGATATTATAGATCTACAAGGGTCCTAGGTGTCTGGTCCTCTTTTGTGGATTTGTTCTTCCTTGCATTTTTGCATTTCACACACAACACAAATACATATTAATAGGCTAATAATCCAAAAGATCGTGGTTATCCTTCTGCCTATTTGAACTATATAGGGTGAGTCCACCAGTGAATGACCACCCCCCAATGAATGACCGTTTCGTATAAAAAACCTCATATCAGGCTTTCTGTATTTCCTAGTCCGTTACAAACGTGTTTAAAAGTAGCTTTGGGGCCTTATAAAAATTCACTCTGTGACTGAATGACGGTTTCGTTCATTAACTGGATTTAGGTCAATTTTCTTTATTGATATTGATGAAAATGCTTTCTGATAGAGCAAGTAAATTCCTATGAAACAAAAATATTTATTAGAAATTATGTGGATGCACTATAACCAAAGTTTGAATGTGAGTGAAATCTTATGGTCAGCATTCCTAGATAAAAAGTTATCTTGCACTAGAACCTATATTTTAACGACCCTGATATCGTTATTTTTCACTACAGGGTGTTCAGTTTCCATGCAAAAATCTAGAACGGGGGTTATTCGGTAAAGGAGGAGGTTCAATACATTTTTTAAATTGTTATATAATATGCGGTCATTCATTGGTGCGATGACTTATGTGCAAAAAATTGTATCTTTCGACACTTTTTTTAACATAATACATTAACGTACAATGTAGCTTAGTAGTATATTTCCCATGTTGTTTTTAAGTAGAAAGTCACCCTTAAACGGTCATTCACTGGTGCACTCACCCTATAGTATTTGAACACCATGTAAGCATTTTTCCTTTTTCATGTTTATTGCTTTTGCAGTTGCAACTTTAAAATTTTAAATCTTTGAGATATTTAAAGAAAAATCTACTTTTTAATTAAAAATGCAAAAATACAAACATTTTGCCCTTCATACAGGGTGGTTGAAAACTTTTAACTATATTTGATATATTTGGAATCGGTTTGTGGCAACCTTCTTAGATATTAGGGCTACAAATAATGATTGTTGATTTTAAAAATTTACCTTTGGGGCAGTATGGTGGTAGAGAGTAGCTAAAGATTTTTAAATTCGTATAGTCGACTTTCATATAATTTTACAGGTTTTAATGAAGTAAAACAATTGACATAATGAACATTTTAAAAATCGGACCACTAATATCAAAATGGTGACCACCCACTTTTAACGGCTGACTATTGTATTGTTGAAGTAACAAATATTATCTTATCAACGTGCAATTTGTATCAAGGATCCATTCTCTGTTTGAAGTTAATATTGACGGGGATGGTTAGTTAATGTTGTTCAAAGGTTTATTGCGGAAAACAAAAAGACCAATAAGAAAACACAAGAGGTTCTACCCGAATCCACGGGTGTACAATTCATAAGCCACAATTAAATTAATTTTGACTTTATATTTCATTTAAAGGGACAAGTTCAAGAAATTATCATCAGAAGGAATGTTAAAAGCAGTGGGACCTTCATACCTTACGTCCTGAGGTGGCCGAGGTGGGTACCTGAACTCGCCGCTCTCATTCACGACTTCCTCGTTTCGACGATTGTGACAACCTCTTGGACGACCAACAGACATGTTTTTAATCTCATATATGCATTGTCTTTCAAACATCCTAGAGCACTCACTTGCATTAAACAGTTATAAATAGCTTCAGTGTCCATTAACCGTACCTCTTTGAACATAAAAGCATAAAAGTAAATACTGTAATAATTATACGTAAACAAAAGTGTAAATAAACAAACTACTGTCGATTTCATTGACCAACTGTTTTCGAGTGGTTTTCGATAAATTAGTTGAATAACGTTAACTACAACGTGTAAGGCGTAGCCCTTTTGAGATCGGCCTGTAGGGCAGAGCCTTAAGAGAATTTGTTCATTCATACCAATACTTTTCGGCAATTCTACACACTCTGAGCTTCATTTTGATGTGCCATATCCCTATAATTTTACTGTATTTGGGTAATGGCCTTAACCATTTACATAAAATTTGATTGTATTACTTTAATAATATAATATATAATAGGATGTTTCTAACAGTATGCATAGATATTCCCTGCGATGCACAAGAACTGCGAAAGAAGGTTTTAAAGAAAAACCCTTGCCTATTTTCAATCTTTTAGTTTATAATATAATTGTACAAGAATATAATTTATAATGCTCCATACCTTAAATTAGAGAACCTATTACTTTTAGTTTAATCAATATAGTACCTGTAAAATGACATAAATGTATGAGTGTATACTTCCTATTTTATGTTGAGCTACCCCTACCACCCCAATAGTAGGCCTACCCCTAAGGGAAACTGTTTTAACTAAACATAATTATTGTATCATTTCATATCTTTAAGCCAGGTTGCCACAAATTTATTTAAAATAGTTAAAAGTTAATAAGCGATGCAATTGAAAAAGAAGAACATCATTAAACACTGGTGATATGATAGAGTAGAAGCACATATAATAAATAATATAAATATATATATATATATATTTTTCACACAGTCTTTAACGTAGTTACTTTATAGTTAAGATAAGTTTCAAATTCGTAGCTCAAACCGCTCTTGGAGTTTATAGGACAAATCACATGCAGATAGACAGGTAAATACAAGGTATGGATGCTAGGAACAATACACAAACAAAACCAGGGTAGTTTCGGGATTTTTAAATCAACAACTTCAGGTACGCGTTATAAGTAATGTAGGCGTAGGCCTACCTCTCAATTTAAGGTTTAATTTCACTTTGATCTTATTAGCCAATAATAAAGGTAATCGATTTAATCATCATCCAATACACCACATGAGTAATAATTGTGCGAATTGTGAAATACCAGAGACAAGAGAAACGATATAATTATAGGCCTAATATCTCTTTTCCGTGTGCATACAATGCAAGAGGTTGGTCCCTTCTTTCCACCATGGGTTGGTCTGGTCCACTTTGTAAGAGGACCATAAAGGATTTTCATATTTTATACTTACTTACTTGATACTTGGTGATCTCCCACTGGTAGCGCAGCTGCGCCGTGGTCGTCAGTTTTTTATGGCATATTTTTCTCTCAGATATTCTTCATTAGAATAATATGGCCTCTTCAATAAATATTCTTTGAATTTCCTCTTGAATTCATCTTGATCTTCAATGTTTTTGATATTTATAGGGATCAAGTTGTAGATTAAGCTTGATAAAAACTTTGGTCCGTCCTTTACTAAACTTGAGTTGACTTGATTTAGATGAATGTTGTTTTTTTGCCTTGTTGAGTAGTTGTGTATTGTATTGTTTTGTGGAAACGTGTTCGGGTTCTTCTTAACTATTAGGGCAGATTCCAAAATAAATATTGCTGGCACCGTAAGGACTTTTGCTTCAACAAAAAGGGTTTTACAATGGGCAAGGTATGGAGCATTATAAATTATTCTTATTTACGATTCAATTCAAACTGAATAAAGAATCAAACAGCTTTCCTACGAAAAGCCTAGTTTCAAAGAGTTTGCTAAAGTATTAATACGGTAATGTATGATAAAAAACTTGTATAACTCGTTAAAATTTTATTTACAATACAGTATAAAAATTAAAATGCATTAAAACGAGAAGGGCAGGTTTGTTCAGTATTAGAAAAATTCGATCTAATCAATTAATTTTCTTGATACCAATTTTAATTTAAATGTGCATTTTATGTTATCCAAGGGTCAATTATGCTTTATTTTAATATAAAATAAACCCACGTATTCGACTACAAAAAACATTATTCCAATACAGCTCTATTAGCAGATAAAACCTTCTTTGAACTGTGAGATTGCATGTTAACGAAATATGCTCAAAACTGATCTATAAAAATAATGTTGTTCTCTTCTCTATTCTGTCAACAAGACGAAGGGAAAGCGAAAGCGTCTGCTCAAGACTTCAAGCGTCTGAACGACAACGAAGCATCACGAGATTTGGTTAGGTTGTGAATCATACATTTTGTTGTACATTAACTTTAGTTATTTCTAATCTCATTAATGATTATTTATTTCACCAATAAATTAAAAACGCTTCTATTTAGCAGTTGTGAACCCCATTGACAACATTTTTAGCATAGGCCTGAATTCTAAGCTAAGGTAAGTGGACAAGTGGTTAGACAATCCATTTTATAATATTTAGGCATATGAATATTTAGAAATACATGTGTAGAAATTAGGTTCTAGCTGTAACTTATAGATTTATGACAGCCTGTTTTAATTTAATTCTATGACAGCTGCCCATGATGTCTTGAAATGCAAGTCATAGCCATAGGCCTAACCTCAACTGAGAATTTAAATGAGCTTTTTGGGGGCAGCAAACATATTCTGTCAGAGAAACTACTTCAAGATACCCGATTTAACATGTTGTTTACATAGGCCAAAAATGAGCTGCTCCAACCAATTCTAAACTGGGGTAGACTTTCAAGTGGGGCCAAAAACTTCCACTTAACCTAACCTAACTAACCGAATGAAATAATTGATTTATCGAATAATCGATACGATATTTTCATTCGGTTGTTTTTGGCTCCACTTATGAAAGTCTACCCCTAAACTGTATTGATCAGCCATATATTGGTACCCTATAACATATCAGACCAATGCTTAATCTTATTAGGGCCTACTAGGTTTTTTAGTTAACTTAACTTTTTAACACTCCAGATTGAGATTGAGCAGATGGGTCTGCTCTCTTCAGGACATCTAAGAAACAAGGTATAATCTCCCTACCTACCCACAGGACAAGCAAATTTTATAATTCCATTCTTCCTTGAAGACCAAAATGTTGGATTACAGATGAATAAATACACCAATGGGAAAATTACGAGTCATCAGTCTATAGTAGTTATGAAATGGTCATAAATCTGTGGTGGTAAAACACCATGGCTCATATAGAAGCTGCTTAATGTTGGTCTTATTACAGGCAATCAGTTGTCAATGTGTCAATTCAGTCTTGTAGCTGAGCAATATTTATAGTATAAGGACTAGACATGTGCTATTTATGCTTTTTTGTCAGGACTTGTCTTATTACCCAACAAAGTAGCTTGTGTGTAAAATGTGTTTGTTTTAAACTTAATTTAAATAGTAAGCTACCTTACCGGATATAAGAATTTTTTTATATTTTTTTCAGCTATGTCAGAAACAAATCTAAAAGATATTGAAAATGAACTTGACGAGCTGTCAGTTCGAATTCTGGAACTCATGAACGACAACATAAGTTGCAAGATGGACATTGAAAGGACCGTGAGATCAGGTTGTCTCGATATGGCAAAAACAAGATACATCTTAGGCAACACAAGCAGTGTGTCAGCAATGAAAATACCAACAGAAGATTTAAATCCGATTTCAACAGTGATCTCATCTGCTGAAGACGGTAAACTTTCTTATGAGCTGAAACGAGAACCTGTCCAGAAGGTTTCTTCAGAAGACAAGTCAAAAAATGTTAATCAAGATCCGCTCAAATGGTTTGGCGTCTTAGTCCCAACAAACTTGAGACAAGCACAATCGTGGTTTAATAAAGCTTTAGACCTTTCTGTTCAAAGTGCCAATATTACTGTGGAGATTAATGCATCTTTAGAAAAATATGATAGGTTATCAAGCAAGAAAAGTTCGTTGAAAAATGTGTCGGATGAGTCGTAAGCCTAAAGTTAATGTTGAAACAAGTTAGGTAGCCTACCTAAGGTTTTTAAGATATTCTATTATGAAGACTCTGGAATTGTGTTTGGTTAATATTTGTCATATGTATAAACATTAGTTTAGCCCATTATATCAATATTAATAAATTATAGCCTATTTCTTTAATAAATATTACTAAAAATATCGCCTCATAGTTGACTGTGTATAGTTCGCATTAAAGTCGGAATTCATTCTTTAAGAAAATAAAGACCATAGACCATTGACTAAACACAGAATTCTGTGCCTACCGGTATGTTAAAATGCTGCTGAAAACCGATTGACCCCAGATCTCAATTTCACAAGTTTAAAATCTTTGAAAATCAGCTTAAATTTTGAACTTACTTGAGGTATTTTTATGATTCAGAACCACCTTAGGTTTAGCAAATATTAAAAGTTGTGATGTTTAAGGGCCAGTTACATTCAAACTGTTCAAAGGTAAAGATTGGGCCTAATATTTAAAGCAGTATGTAGGCTATTGTAAATATATCATCTAGGTATATAAAACGGTTAAATACCTGTCCTTGATCTATAAGCACTATTATACTCCAGAATTATATTTTTTACTTCGCCTGTTCTCCATTTTCACCTTTACTGTACCGTATCGTCCTTAACACATTCGCTGCGGTCCCATCAATGGTTGGCTTGGTTGAGCGAACCTGTTTGGCTTTCAAATATCGGTCTGTCGAATAGCAAATTATGTTCTTCGTTACGATGGAAATTTAGAAATTTAGTCATTTAGCACTAGCAGAAATTTAGTTAAGTCGTCGTAGTTTGCTGAAACACTCACATATAGCACACTGTCTGGAACTAGCCGGTCCCATTGTATTGCCAATTTGAGGGAAGAAGACGGGACAACAAGTTGATTTATAAGCTTGCCAGTACGAGATTTTACTGTCCAGAAATTTACTACCAACCTACATAACAATAAAGCACCCATTCTGAACTTAAGACAGCTACATAAAAAACCCAGTCTTCCCTGTGTGCTGCTCCACAGAAATTGAATGGAATGTAGCCGATGTCGCCACTCACGGATAGGCGTTCAGGGTGGTAGAAAGGAACTAGAGCACTTGCCGGTGAGTGGCCCACAGCGAACGTGTTAAAGGGAGTATTTGAACAGATTGCTCATATTTCCTATACATAATGGTAAATACTTACTGTATGCACAATAGATGGTAACAGCTGATTTATTCTGATTAGATGAACAAGTTTCTTTGATCTGGACAGGCAAACAAAGTAATTGTTTGAGTAAGAATAAACTAATGTTTTAGGCAAAAGTTTTCATTTCAGGTCTAATTTAGCTAACAAAGTTTCTATTAAGCTTTTCAAAGGCCGGCAGGTTATTCACTCCGCTGCCTGATACACTCTGTTAGGGAAAATGTTAAGTCTCTGTAATTCATGTTAAAAGCTATCCAATCCTTTCAATAGATAATTATTTCCTAAAGATATTTGGATGTTATTATGTTTAATTTCCATCACTACCGGTAATACTTTTAATCATTGTTGGCATTTGGTAGATTTAACGTGAATTATTCAGGTTTCTGTTGAATTTCATCAACAAAAACAACCAATTCTTAAAAAGTTAAAAGTGTTAAAGGAAAAGTGGAAAACCCAAAGGGTACAGATTGTTTAAAAAATGTACAAGTTATTTTTATTACAGCAAAACAATAGGTACAGTGGTAATAATATGCAAAGTACAAACATAATGTTTTCATTGGCCAGGTTCTCTGAACTTAAATTTTACATAATACTAAACTATTGATGAAACCTTATTATTTGATAAAATTACATAGGAATTCATTTCATAATTGTTATTAAAAAAACACTTAGTTTTCACACAAATATATATATTTTCATGCTTTAAAAAATATTTACTGGGGTAAAGATGCAATTAATTACTCTGCTAACTCAATAACTTCAATATCTTTACGTTTCTGTTAGTTTAAAGATAAAGGTATTTTCATTGTGATTACTTAACAATGATGATAAACACAAATAAATTAAACAATACAATTGTGTAATCATAAATTGGAATTATTTTTTTCCAGAAAAATTAACGGAAGTTACTAGAAATATAACACTTACATCAGATTTCCTTTGATTCGGATTCTTTTTTACCCTAAAGATCTAGAAGGTCAATGAACTACATTAGCATGGCAATATATATGACTGGGACGGGTGGCGTCGTCCTTGTAATCCAGCTACTAGGAGGTCATGAATTGTGGATATTTATAGGCATGCACTGTGGATGCGATACTTCCTGGTGTGGATTAACGTCCGCACGAGTGAGTACTACGACTATCCACAGTACCATCCTGATAATTAGACCAATTCGTAAATACTAATGAAAATATGTGGTTCGGATTCCACTATAAACTGTAGGTCCGTTAGTGTCCATTAGCTGTATGGGCTATTAATTAACAGCTGTGTCTAAGGAATGTCGGCCTTAGTCACTAACAAGACTACAAGATCGCGCCACTCATCCTACACTCATCTCCATATTCATACTTGGCTTAAAATACCTACTTTGTATGGTCGCCATTTAATAAGAAAGTAATAAAGTATACTGTATTAAAAACTGACATTTTCACTCCAGGATGAATGCAAACTGTTAACAAGTTAGAAACAGTAGATTTTTAAAACTATTTATTAAAATTATAAATACAGTTACTAGAGCAAAATGGATTCTAATAAGAGGAATTTTTTACAACTGTAATATACACCTGATAAGATTTCTAAGTTGTATTGTATCATGCTTTAACATTGCCGATAGTTTTACTTAAAAAGGTTTTAATTGGACCTTATCATTGACATCTGCATTGGCTAATCTGAAACATACTAACTGAAATAGTCTATTTATAAAATTAATTGTTCAATGCAGAGGCAAAGTTGTTATTTAAAAACTCAACGAACAATAGGTCTATACAAACGCAGTCAGTTTGTACAAACAGTTGCTAAACAAAGCTATCAAAAATTTACTATAAACTGATCTGCTTATTATGGTGCAATTTTCCAAAGGGCTAGAGTTAAACTTGCTTCCTAGAAAAGTATTTTTAGTCTATGAGTTTTGAGATACACAAAAAGATTTACATAACATTTCTTTGTGAATCCATGGAAAACAAAGGTCGCACAACATTCACAAGCCCTCAGCTGTATTCAGCAGCCAGGAAAGCCGCCTTAAGAAGGCTAAACTCGGTCAAAATCAATTACAATCAGCCAGATGATTATCTTAAAATTATTAAGTGTATACATGATTGATGCATAAATTAAATCCACATTTATAACAAACTTTTTATAAGTTACACTATCGTTTAAAAAAACCCTTAGCTAGTACGGAAGATAACCAATACTACATTTAAACCAGTCTCACAGTTATATTGATGTAAAATATATTGATACCGGTACCAAACTTTAAAAAAAGGCTTAAATTAATTTGTCTAGATAATGACTTTCATGCATTACAAAAACATCTAATATCACACAAATGCCAAACACTTAGGTAAATATGAAAGTTGACGGTTATTGTACTAGATACAATTACATACAGTTAAATATACAAGATAGAGCACTGAAATAGTGATTTAATGATCCGCCTCTGACAATGAGTCAGGGTTGTCTTTGTAGTATGAAACTCCAAACCATTCCGGATGGTCTTCCAGGTACCTGCAACAGAACAGCCATCATTTGTTAGTTATTTTATCTCCACACTATTTATTTTACTACGGGTCGGAATGGTCGTATGAAAAAGTTTATCGAATATTGTAAATTATCTCCGACGATCATTGAAAAATCTTAAATTTTCAACTGTGCTCGCACACCTCTAATGCGAATACTCCAATCTAAGATTGTCCCAAACACTTTTTCTTGCACGTACGGCACGGTGCGGCCAGACGAAAAAACTTCTGACCCTTAAAATATCTTATTAAGAGTCATCACCCGCCGTGGGGCGGGGTTCTGAGTGTAACTTATGGCCTTGGTGGGTAGGTTGTGTGGAGGGGCAGGTAGCATGGGGTCATTATGCGTGCCATTCTGAAAACATCTTTGAGATGGCAAAAGAACAATCTTTATGAACAATCCATTCTGAAAACTATCTTTGTCACTCTATTATACTATTAATTGTTTGATAGCGTTAGAATTGCTGTAGTATTTTTATCAAGATAATTGATTTGAATTGTAATAGGCTGAATACACTTATTTGTGATTACAATTTATTTGTAGAGTGACTCGCAGAGTTTCATTCTCAAACAAATTTTCCCCCCTGTAGTTCATTAAAACTTTGTATAATTCAATCTTAGTGCTGTGTGAATTGTTTGGCCATTAACATTAGAAGCAGGACAACCAGATGGTGGTAGTACGAGAAAACTGCCGTCACCATAGGTTGATTCTGTTGTATTTACAATCTCATTTAAAACCACTGACTGTTTTGTATACAGCCATAACAATATTTAGTTTGCAAGATAAATCTAATAAAACACTTAGTCAAATACACCTAATAATTAACATATTCTCTAGGTGATAAATATTTAATCCTGTTAAAACTGAAACCGAGAATTAATCACATACTTAAATAGTAAATAATAAACGACAAGAGGATTAACAGCAAGAAAATTATAACAGAAAGTGTATTTATCATAAAAATGACGTCACCAGACCGAAAGCAAATATGTTTGCATTATTATTAAAATTAAACTGTCAAAAATCGTCCAAACCTTACGTTAATGTTATTAGTGGTTAGAGCTAGTGACGTCATGTTTCTGATCCACACCGTTTCTGCTCTAATATCTGTGATACCGGTAACAGTTACAATAATTCCTTTGAGTTAACAGCTGATCTTATGCCTTTGTTTTTATGTCAAAAACTGCTTCCATAAGGATTACATTAAAACTTTGAGAGCTAGTGGGGCGGATTCCTATGGGAATTTTTTAACGTCATATAGATGTTAGCACTCACCGATATGGTCTTTATCACCATGCAAAGTTTGAAAAAGATTGCTTCAGCCCTCTAGGAGGAGTTGGTGTATTACGAAATGCATGAGAGTTGACGTATAAGAGCTTTGCTCAAAAAATAAACTTGAGATTATAGCAAGTTATAACACCCTTTAACAACAAGAAAACACTTTTTTTCAATTCAGTCCCTTCAAATATTGTCTGAAAAAGCCTAATTCAAAGACATGTTTTGTGTTGTTAGAGGGGTGATCAAGACTATTAAAGAAAATTCATCAATGCAGAGAAAAGACTCATCTTTTTGCTTTCTAGAAGTAGCTAAAGTGGTTAAAGGTGGGCTTCAGTCCATGAGGAAACACCAATTTCTTTTGATGGTTCAAAACTGGGACTAACTGTTTCTGGTCATTGGGCTTTAGTTAATAAATGATCCTGGCTAATAAAACAGCTGATCATTGCCATTAACAAAGCTACACATATCGTATCACTTCATTCTACACTCATCCATTCACTCATATTTAGGTCACCTAGGTGCGGTCCATGAGAGTCTGCAGTTGAGTGAGGAGCCTATTTGTCACGTGACTTCGAAGTAGCCAATGAGTACCGTGCGTTGTTGCCAAATCTAATAATACCAGCTGATTTAAAAATATTATTAAGTATTTTAATTAGTGTCGTCAACAGGCGACATGGCAACGTTGCACTGACCTTGTCTTGTGATTATCTGCCGCCAACTGCACATTCTTGCTGTCCCTACTGTAGGTGGCCATCATTTCAGTTGATAATTGATAGGTAACAATGAATTGATATAATCTGATACGTTTTTATATCTTTCTTTTAGAACTGTTTATTTGATTTCCCCTTTGTGCTGTTTATAATGTCAATATGTTAAGCTGTTATTTATTTTTTTGCAAACTAATTTGAATTACATTCTGTTGCTCATTCAAACTAGAATCTCTCTTCTCTTTCTCTTTACCATACAATTTAAAAATAACCTTTGTTCTGCCAATATATTTATAATCCTCCTCTTGTATGGGAAGTGGTGGTGGACAAAGAGAATATTTGTGATGGCGGCCGCAACAGTGTTGACAGTCACACAGATAAAAGCCATTGGAGATTGTCGGATTGTGATTCCAAGCCTTCAGGACAAGTTCCCAAGCTCTAACTAGTAACTAGTGAAATAATTGCGGCTAATAGATGTAATAGGTGTGAGAGCAGCTAGCCTGAGAACTGGAGTAATCAAGCACTGACTCAGAAAATCTGGTAATATCATGAACTAGCAAAACTTCATTTTAGGCACCTTGTGAGTAACACAGTTTCCTATATAATAGTCTCAAGAATGAAATAGTTCAAAATAAATTTTCATATTAAATACTAGAGATGGGCCGATTCCTGAATTGGTCGATTCCGATACCGATTCCGATTCTACAACTTTGGTTTCGATTCTCGATTCCGCACTCGATACCGATACCTGTTAACCCTAGCAGTGGCCAATGTTAGAAGTGGGGAATGGCCAACCCATTTTGGCGATTTTGCAGACCATTTTTCGAAAATTCGTAAAAATTCAACCGTACAAGTAAACCTAGCCAACCTCATATTCATTTTGTTCGGAAAGAACAGGAGAATCTAGAAATAGTAATATCATAATGATTTAGACAGTGTATTTTATCGGTAAAGTGAAAAAAATATAAAAAATTGAATTTTTTTTTTTTAATTCCAAAAGCGGCCTCTGCATTTTTTTTCTACGGATTTTTTTATGGGAAATTCATTATATACATTTTGTAGACAATCTAATTCCCTACATAGAAATATATAACATGTTAGGAAAATATTTTTTTTTATAAGTTTTTTGGGGCGAAATATAATGACAAACGGAGAACCGAAAAAATTGAAAACCGTACAGTGTTAGTTTATGTTGTAAAAAGTTCTATAATATATGTGTATACTAATAATGATATATACATGTTTGTAAAGCTAATGAAGTAAGGAATCAAAAAAAGTCATAAAGTTTATGGTAAAAATAATTGTTTACCTATAAACATACGTATATAAAATAATGTTTTTATATTTTAGCGATTTCTCGAGAAAAAAATTCACAGTACTTAGTATACAACTTTTGTACCAAATTTGTTTACTTCAAACCAACATAATAATCTTGTAGTGTATTCAATTACCTACATAAAAATGTATAACATGTTAGAAATATTTTTTTTTTGTAGGTACGTAATAGGGACATAATAATACAATAACCGCAAAACCGCAAATAAGTGTAAACTATAGCCTAAAGTGTTTGCTTGTGTTGTGAAACATTATGTAGGCTGATGATATGTAGCCTACATATTTGTAAAGCTAATGAAGTAAGGAATCCAAAAAAGTCATAAGTATGATGGTAAAAAGTTATTTTCACCTATGATTATGTATCAATTTGAGAACGTTTTGAATTTTTTGCGCATTTCGAGAAAATGGAGTGTACAGTATTTAGTAGCCTATATAATTTTTTTACCAAATTTTTTACACCCAAACCAATATAAACATGTTGTAGTGTATTCATTTACCTTTATAAAAATGTATAACACCTTGGGTAAATCATTATATAGCATATATAGCACCTCTGAATGTCAGAATCGTCATTTTTGAACATGATGCTAACAAAATACAGTAGTAGGCCTATTTAGTATAGGCTATAACTTGTTTACAAAATTTTTTACCCCCAAACCATTATAAACATGTTGTAGTGTGTTCATTTACCTTTATAAAAATGTATAACACCTTGGGTATATCATTATATAGGTACAACAATCTCTGAATGTCAGAATCGTCATTTTAGGACATGATGCTAACAAAATACAACCTTTTATGAACACTATTTCACACAATTCAGTAATATTTATGCATGAAGATTACTGTTATACACACACACAACACTTCACTAACACTAACACTACGAACTAATAACATATTTAGTAATAAATCGCGGATAAAACTATTACCGGCAACAACACAAACAAACAATGGCAATACAAGACAGCTGACAGACTGTAGCAGTAATGACTCACTTGTCGTCTACATGCGAGCATACAGAAATAACCCTGAGTGCAGGGCTGCCACTCTCTGAATCTAAATTTCTTCCTCTTCAAAATGATATACTATATGACTAGTAATAATAACTTTCACTGTATATAATTCGTATTTTCCATACTGTCACCAGACGACTGTTGGCCATTTGTTAGAAATTTCGAAAACAGCTGTTTTCATAAAATCGTACCGATTGTGCAATAAATATTTAGTTATAAATATCACTACCACAATGAAGATAAAATCAATGGCTATCCAGTGGTACCACCCGCAACATCCCAAGACGAAAATTACCCGAGCAGGGTAATGCCAAACAAGACGTGTTTTGCCAGTTCCCAAGTGTCGGCTGCAAAAGTCGTACCGCGCCAAAATTTCATTTGATTTCTAATCGTCGTGACATTGTTATATACCTGCTACAGGGGTTGTTTATGTAATCAAATGAAAGTTCAGAATGTGATCTTTCGAATGGTATATATATTATTCTCATCTGAGTTGATTGTAAGTGTTTTTTTACCGTTAAAAAAATTTCGGCCCATACCGTCACCAGACGACATTGGCCATTCTAAGCATCAACGTCATACCGTCACCAGGCGACGGTTGGCCACTGCTAGGGTTAAAAATTCATTTAATAACACATATAACTTATGAACTTATGATAAAGCCTAACTTTATTTAATCTTTAAATACAATAAGATAACTGCATTGTATTGATTAAGGTTACATAGATTAGGTTAGCCAAAAAGGAAAAATAAGATAGGGCTATTTCAAGAAGACATGAATTTTAACATATTTTATTAAATTAATAATTAATTGATAGTAATAATTAATTGAGCACAATCACCAATTTAGGTACCGGTAGGCCTAAAATGTTCACAGAATTTTTTTTTTTCACAAGAATTCATAGTTCGTACATCTAGGCCTACAATGATTGTTCCATATTGCTTGAGTTATAAACTCAAAGTCATCTTCAATATTGTCATCATCAATATCACTTAAATTACTTAAAGAATCATGTAAAAAAGTCATGGAGTTCGTCACATCACTAGAACGGAGTCGGAGATCATATCCATTTTGAACAACTCAAACTCACTGTGCAAAATGCACGCACAGAAAACAAAACAACAAAAAACCAAAACATAGGTTAAACAATTCATTTGCCATTTGCAAACTCATGACAGCTGTTTCAGTTCAGTCATAGAGAAACAACATAAAAAAAAAACAATAAAAATACATCGCTAAATGGCTTTCTACAATAGTCACCATGAAGCCCTGAATTAGCTGAACAGTTCGTGGGGTCTCATATCTTATAATGTCATAGCTTATAATCGTGAATTTGTTCCATAGCTTATAATCAGTTATAAGCTATGCCACACTTTCACAAAAAATTATAAGCTATGCCACAATTTGGAGTTAGAAAATGCGAGTTAAACCATTGATTATATACACCTTATGTGTATTATATGTATATATTAACCCTTTGAGTGCCAACGTCCGGGGAACCGGACGTTTTTAAAACGAGCCAAAAGTGCCGACGTCCGGCCGACCGGACGTTTTTAGAACGACGTCCGGCTGACCGGACGTTTCGTAATGATCGAACAGTTGTCATAACAACCGAATGGATACTCGGATTCTTTTAACCCATATATTAACATTGAGTCGAAAGTTACTAGATGCGATACATCGATTTTCGTTGGTCGAAATATCGAAAATTCGATTTTTACGAAATTTTAACCTAAAAATCGCCAGATCGCGCTTGGCATTTTTAGCGCGACCCTCGGGAAAAATCATCGGCATTTTTTGAGCGTTACTTTGATTTCTCGCCTGGCACTCTAAGTGTTAAATGCTTGTACCATCTGGCAACATTGCCTTTGATCTGACAACATGGCGGCAACTAGAGTTCTGGTTAGGCCTAGTTGTCTTGTCACTGTTAACTGAACACAGCTCGTCATACCCATTGCTACTCGTTCTGAAATGCAATGGCAATCTATTTAGGATTATAAAACTATTACGAATGTGAGATAATGAACTTGGAATTATTTATATTAGCTGACTTCAAAGTATTTCAAATAAACTATGATGTGCCACTCTTTACAACCTTCAATGTCAGTTGAATTTAGCATTATTAATTAACCTCACTTTTCAGGGTATCGAGTACAATGAAGCTTAGTATCGAGTATCGGCGATTCTTCGATACCACTGGTATCGAAGGTATCGAGGTATCGAGAATCGGAATCGGCCCATCCCTATTAAATACACAAATTTATAGAATGAATAGAAAAATATTTGTAAGTGTTATATTCACATTTTATGGTAACTCGGAAACTAATCTAATATCACACAACTTTAAGCAAAAATATACTCACTTCAGAAAATACCCAAAATATTCCAGAACAGTTTCTAGTTTCTCGTCTGGCATGTTTGTAGCTTGTAGAAGCTCAGGGAGTTTGACTAAAACAAACATTATTGAGTGAAATTGTTGCTTGCTTTTTAAAATGTTATCAAGAATTATAAGAGAATTGAAAAATATGTTTACATAACCATTCCCTCAATAACCTCAATTAGACTTTCCTCCCTCCATTTTCTAAGACCTGTTAAGAGACCAACTTATATAATGTTATGTTGTCAGTTTTCAAATTATAGTAATGTTATCGTACATACCTACTTTATCATTGACTTTCAACATTTCAAGTTAGCTTTTTTTTGCTATTTTAATATTTGAAGATTGTATTAACAAGTGTTTTATATCCAATAAAAGGTGTGTTTGGTACTACACTGCTTTCACAAAATTTAGGCGATTTGAGGCAAAGCGATTCCATCCCCTCCACCTTGCATTACCTTGAAACAACAGATGCCAGGAAACCTTCCCTTTAAACCGCCTACATTTTGTGCACTAATATTTAATGCAACATGAAAGATGCCATAGTTTTCATCATGTTACAATTTCAATTAGGATTGGTAAATTTATGTAAATTAGAAATAAATTGATAATAATCTACATCAAAATTCTGTTGGAGACTATTCAACTACAAAGCTATGGCTATGTCATGCCAACGGGATTCTACATCCATCAATTAATTGTCAAATGTAATACAGTACCACATTCAACACATCGTTACAAACCAATAAACTGTAGTCCACTTTAAAAATAGGATCTCTCCCCTAAAAAAAGTAACTGAAAACTATGAAGAGTGTAAAGAAAAAATAGCATACTGTGACTTACCGAAAAGTCTGGCGAGATGAGTCGCGCCATAGATGAGAGACGGAGGCGAAGGTTGGACGGAGTAGAGTGTTGATGGAACGATCTTCCACTCTTGTATCTGAGTGTACAAGGCTGAGTGGCGAGGGGACTGTACTCGGCCACTGCCGGCCATCCAGCTGGTACTAGCCCCACTATCACAAGACACAACAATTACTACTGAACACTGTGACACATTTGACAAGTTTCATTATATTATGTTTTAACCACCTGATCACATTTAAATACATTACTATAAATTGGTGTAAAATACCTGCATTTATGCGATTAAATCGTTCGGTAAGGCAACCGGTTTCGACTCACTTGGGAGTCATCCTCAGGCCAGTCAAGATGTCAAATTGCTTTATATGAAGGGCGTTAAATGATAGTAAATAGGACAGCACATTCACACATTTAAGGATCAAGCAAGAGTGAGTCTAGACATAACTTTTGACCGATCTAGTCATGTACCGTACCACTACATTATGACCTTTGTTTTTACCTGATAAATGTCCAAATTTAAATGTGTGAATGTGCTGTCCTATTTATTAATATTTATTATCATTTAACAACCTTCATATGAAGCAAATTGACATCTTGTTCGATTAGCCTGAGGATGACTCCCATGTGAGTCGAAACCGGTTGCCATAATACAACGATTTGATCGCATAAGTGCAGGTATTTTACACCAATTTATAGTATTTGACTTGTATTGATAAAAATAATATTTTCAGAAAAGTTTAACATTTTTTATAATTTAAAGAAATATTAGTTTACATTCTGTACAACTGTCGAAATTATATTTTCTTCCTAGGTTTTGGACAATCTTCTGAAATAAGAACAGCAAACAATATTTTAACTTTGGATTGGGCATTTTTTACAACTAGTATGCAATGAGACACTAGTACAGGACAAAGACAAGGCAAACCCCAAGTAAACCCCACACTTGGTCACACCTCACTGAATGCAACTAAAAGTGAGAATGTAATCAATAATAATTTAATATATTTAACTACAGTAAACCTCACTAACTTGACAAGTTGTGGACCAAGAGGTTGTTGAGTCTGGAAGTTTTCGTGCTATCCAGAACATTAAAATTTGTATTCACCCTATAAAATGAATAGGCGTACATAACATATTAATTTTTATTTTTGTTATTTTGATACATACTGAGTAAAAAATCTTAAAAGAGTATAATCAATCGCTAGATCTTCAGTCAACTTTGAACGTCAAACACACTAGTGTGAGTGAGACAAAGCCAGATAGATGTGTGCCCTGTCAGCTATTGACTATTGAGTTCCACAGACTGTCGAGTTAGTGAGGTTAAAAATCTAGATAATGTATATTTTCTCTTGTAAATTAGCCAACATGGAGTAGTCAACACTTCACGTCAGGCCTGATGTTTATTCTGATTAACATTAAGAGCCGAAACTAGTTGTCACTACTCCACTACAGCAACCATGATTTACTATGAAGGTATCGCAAACGATTTTAAACACAATTCTTCATCTTATTATAAATTGCATAGTATTTTCAGACAAGGAATTAATCACACTTGTGCAGTTTTATTGCATTTCCACATTTATGTGGTGTATTCAGTGAGGTGTGGCGATTGGGATTTGCTCACAGAGTCGGCCCAATCTTTGACCTGAACTACCCTTCTGTTATATATCCTGCCTCAACATAACCTATGACAGTGTGCATATTCTAGGTATCTTAAAAGACTATTTGTATAATATTTTGGCTCAAATCTTTTAATAAGATAAAACCAAAGTGAAAGGGAATAAATATTACATTCAAACCCAACTAACCTACCTGCATGTTGACAGCGAGGTTGAGTGAGGTTTGCCATTGGTAAGTTCATGGTTGGTACTCGTCTTGTGTGACGATCGTAGACTCTTCTTACGGCATCCGTCTGGTAGAAGAAAATATATCTGGTTAAAGTATAAAGACGAATAGGCTAGACGGACTGGAAATGAAACCACAGGCCTTAGCAAACCAAGAGGTCAAATGTTAAAATACCCATATTACTGTCAGGTGATCCTGGTTTTCATAACAACCAATGATTTCAAACCTAAACGTCAGTTGTCAAGTTGAATACCAGGCTATGATCAATCTTCTTCACCACTCGGGCTATGAAGAAGGGTTGTCAAAAACATTTTTACTTGTGAAAAAAGACACAAACGCAAAATTGTTGAACAAATGTCTATGGATACAAGATGTTTCAGGCAAATGGTGAGTTATGATTCAGAGACCATGGTTAGTCAATAAATAATGAAAAATAACTGAATAAATTAAATGATTGTTAACAAAAATAGTATTTCAATAAAATAATAATAATAATAATTTACATAATTTTAATACTGTAATTTAATAAATTTACCTCCTACATTACAGAATAAAACTTCTGCCCCAGCAGACGTTTTAAACTCTTGCAAATTTCATTAAAATCGGCGATTTATTACTAAGGCCTTATTAATTACTCCTGAACAAAACTCAAACAAATGAGTATCAATTTATGGAATCACTGAACTAAAAATGAACAGGCAACCAACCAAAGTTGTTAAAAAATCAAAGACATACCTTCTCCATCTGGGTTATACTTCTCCTCGTAATCACTATCCGTAATTTCAGCCTTAATAATGACTGGCAGTCCATCACTGTGGGAAAATAATAGTGTGAACATACAAAAGATATGACTCGTTTAAACTCTGTTAGTCTAGGCTTAATCCAATGTGTGAATGGATTAATTAGTGATCATTATTATACATTTGGTAAAACTTCAATCCTTATTATCCTTGACACTTATCCTTTTCAATTTTGATCATGTCTCAAGTCTTTTATCTAATCAATTATTATAATATCTTTATTCTTTGGATTCAAATTTGCCAAAGTCATTAATTTATAATTAACTCTAACACTTTTCAAAGCATGCTCAATTTTATACAACCCTAGGTATATTAAATATTTTTGACCAGTTATACGATATTTTCATCTGAAATGTTTTCGTGTCTTTAGAAACGCCGAAATAACCATCAACCAATGAATGATTTGTTTATATACAAAAATTCAAAAATTACAGACAACACAATAATTTCATAATAACCCTTTGAGTGCTCTGAGACGCACCATTGTCGTAGCTTGATTGCTGAGCGTCTCGTAGCAAGACGGTCGAGGTTGCACGAGAAATGCCAGCAGAAAATCACGTCATACAGCACACATTTCAAATTTCAATAAAGCTGGATGCAAATCACACGAAATGCAACAGAAAGAGGTTGGCAACAACTATTTTGCTCTTTTACTGTAGAATGGAGCTGAGAAATGTGGTCAATTTGTGCATTTGTTGATAGTTTGTGGCTAATCACATAAAGTGTACCGGTAACTGGACTTGGTAAGTCAGGCCTATAGGTGTATGATTTTATTTAGACTGTTTGTATATTTTGTGCATGGCTTATAATAGTATTCTAATAGTAATTTGAATTATAAACATAATTATAAACATAATAATAACAACATAAAATGATATAGTTTTGTCTGTAACAACACAAGTCATAAAGCATTATTTAGGTTGTTTGCTGGGTAGGGCCTAGAATTTTTTGAGACCTCTTTGTAGTATATGTTACATATTTTTTGGAAATATACAATACATTTGTTATACATGATTTCTCTTGAGTTTTTAATGCTCTTTAAAATGATTGTAAAATTGAATGTCAATGAATGATTTTAAATTGTGTTATTTTAAATTTTAACTCAAACTTTGAAAATGAGAATAAACTGTACCATATTTCTGTCTTGTCCATGAAATTATCTTATTTTAACTCATGAAACCCCAACTAAAATTAGCATTTTACAATGGACGATCTAATAATCTACAAAACAAAACCAATTTAGACCAAAACTTTTAATAAATAAGTATTTTATGACTATTTTCCTAAACACCTGCATTTATGTGGGAAAATGGTCGGCATTCCTAGAGGCAACACCACGTTGTAACAATTCAATATTTCCACTTATATTTTTCATAGATAATTTAACTTTCACCATATGTTTTCTTTGTATCAATATGTCAATTTATCAAACCTTGTATAATATATGACAAAACAGACCAATAGGTAATTGATTCAAAACAATATAATATAGAAATTTTCAAATAACCTAATTTCATGTAAATATGTAATAGCCTATAACTTTTTGTAACAAAATTGCTTCAAATTCAATATAAATTTTATTTCAATAACTTTTCAAAATTATAATTTAGCTCTATAGCAAATGAAATTTGTTATAATATATATGAGTGAACAGTGGCTTACAATTTTATGTGATTAAGTCAGCATTGACATATGTGAGTGCAACAATGCATCAGACCTTCATTACTTCCAATGGAGCTGAGCTAGTATGAAGATGTAAATTGGATACTACCTATTTTAATATCAAAATTTATAAAAAAAGTGTCTATATTTGAACCTAAATTAGTGAAATTCGATTGAAAAAGAACCGTCCTTATTACAAACATTAATAATTAAGTTACAACATCAAGAAGTTATGCTGCGAAGAAGACATCAATTTGGTGAGATCACTCCAATAGACATTTCCCCTTTGGAAGCCATTAAAACATTTTTAGGCCTAACCTTTGGACATTTGTACTCAAATTCAAAGTCAAGAAACTAATAGAAGCTTAACACGTTCGCTGCTACGGACGTTCCGGAACGTCAGCCGGGCCACGGCGCCAGGAGCTAAGAACGTTCCAGAACGTCACCGTTCATTGTTGTTTAACGTTGCTATGGATAAGCCAGCACGTCACAAGCGTTCTATATTTCTTTGCAGCTCGTGGGGACGTACTTTTCTGACAATAAAAAATATAGTTTTTCCAAATCACCACCAGGGTCGTTTGGAACAGGGCTTTGTTTTTCCTCTTTCCTGCTAGATAGCGATACTACTTTAACGACTGTAACCTGGGTAGTGCTGCTATCTATCAGAATCACTTAGTACTATATCCAAAGCCAGTTGTATTGCAGAACATTGCCATCCAGTATAACTACTGTTGTTTTTATTGTAATTCAGTGTATCGGTGGCAATGTCACGCAGCGGCCGAGCGTTAGTTCAGCAACTGGCGCCGTCCCGGCATCTAGTGCTCAGCAGCGAACGTGTTAATATTCAGAACTTTAATTAATTCAACCAATCTATAATTTGAACCTATTTTATATTTCAATCAAAATTTTAATTAGGCTATATAAAATCACAAGATTAAATTCAAATGCCGCTCGATCACCCCACCTGAGATAAAGATTCATGCAATAAATTATAACACCTGAACCTTTAGAACTATTGTAATAGGCTTAGCCTAAAGCTTTCCTTATTAAATTCATTCCCCACTGATTGTAAACTTTATTGTGAACCATTTATTTTCTTTTACTATCAATTTTGTATTTTAATTAAATAAATTTAAGTTTCGATATTGTACATGGAGTTTCTATTGTATTCTTAATTTTAAGGTTGATTACAACGTGTAGGCCTGGCAAACCTCAAATAACATTGTAGATCATCTTGAAAATTAAGAAGTTAAACGGGGCAAAGCCCGTGGGATTATAAATAGTCAAAGGCAAGACAACGTCTGCCGGGTTCAGCTAGTATGATATAAATCTGAAAGTTTGTGTGTTTGTTTGCAGTTCAATCATGCATTAAATACTGGTCGGATTGGGCTGAAAATTTGGTATGATGATAGCTCACATGAACATATGGACATTCTTATCTCAAAAATCCTTTCGGGCTCCGCCCCCATGGCTCTGGAGTTCCCATGTTAACCTTATGAGTATTCATATTTAAAAGAAATTAAAGAATTTTGTCAGCTGTTTCAACGACACAAGCTGGTTCTATGACATTCAATATCATCAAAAAGTTATAAGATTTGCCAACAGGTTGCAGCATCATTATTTTTTTTGCATTTAAGACAACAGCTAATTTGAACCAAGCAGCAACAAAAAGCTGTGATTAACAATGATAACTGGCAAAGTAGAATTGTTTACAGTTAAGTTTATGTCTTTCATTTACAAATAACTTTTTCATACTGTGCGAATATTCGATAATTTACTTTTTTTGTTTAGGTGTAGTGGTAGAACATTATGACTATGGTAGATGTGTTACCGGTACACTATAGCATACCATAAATTAAAAGAAACAAACTTTCTCAAACCGTGTCCTCTCTCATTGCAAACACAAAGCACGAGTACAATATACATACCATACATACAAAGTTGTACATACAAAGTTGTACAATCAGTAATAGTACATGCTCACAAGAATCAATATGTGTTTGCAACATAATAAATAAAAAGTGATAATAAATAGCGCAAGTATAGTAAATAAATATAAACTCAAAACAAAACCAACAAGTCTCAACTTACTTTGGATAGTAGGAACTTGCTGGTTGGCTGACAGCCTGCCGGTACTGTTCTTTCTCTTGGCGATAGAGGAGCAAAGCCCCAAGCGTGAAGTCAAAGTATATTCGGAGACCATCACAAACCTCTTTGCAAAGATTTAGCCTAAAACATTAGCCGTCACTTATGGTAGGGCCTACATAACATCATGGTACATGATGGAAACCTATATTGTCAAAAAGTCTGTATATTTGTGGGGAGGTAATTAGGAAATGTAAACAATTGTTTAAGAGACTACTGTCAAATGAAACTGTACAATTACCTACAATGTTCACAACATTTTCCCCTATTTATTGGTCATACAGAGAGCCTATTCTTACAGAATTGTACACCAGTCAGTTTAGGTTAGGGATAGTAGTACTACTAACACCTCTCGTTACACACTCTCATCATTCCCACGGTTGCATGTTATGCTTTTGGTCACCAAATTTCTCCGACTTGGACATTGACAGACTAAAAACTAAAGAAATCATACATCTCAGTAGTACGGTAATTTCCTACTAGCAGGCATCTTCCAATAAATTCATTTAGTAAGAAATTAGGTTACGATAGTTTATAATCACATTTAGTCACAAGAATATCAACCTAACCTGACTCGAACTTGAAAATCAGGCAGAGTAACATTTGAGATTGAGAATAATTCTTGACCTTGGCTGACAATACACACTTCAATGACAAGTAACAATAAAATATATCTTAGGTACAACTAGGTTCCTTTCTTAGGTCCTTATCTTAGGTAACCTTTCATACCTAGTCATTTAAGTATCTCTTCTGTATAACAATGTGTTTTAAATAAATTTAGGCCAATTAGTAAATTTTAATGTAGCCTGCTGTTGTCGAAAAGTAGGTATGGTCTTTTGAATGTAAAAAGCAGTTTAATTTTATAAATGTCTGACCTTTTCGTCAATTTAAAACACAATTTAAGTTAGTGGTCTTATCCTACCACTAGTGGAATGTGGTTAGGTCAGGTTAGGTTTTTCTAACTCTATACTAAGCTCTATAACCTAACCTAACCAAAGTTTAATTCACTACCTAATAATCTATTGCTCTAAAACCTAGTGGTAGTGAATTAAGGTCCTAAATGCCAATTAGGCTTACTATAGTATAACCTAGGCTATATTTAAGTAGACCTGCTTTAGGATAGCTTACTTTCGACAAATGCTGTCGGCATCTTTTGATTTGTCAGCATTGTTGTGCCCCACTGACTGGTTTAACTGCTTCGTAGCCCAATACTTGAAGAAATTCTCCAAAACAGTCACAACGTTTGGTGTGCAGGGCAACTTTGATAACTGAAACCAGGAATTATAGTAATTTATGTCAAAGCTAGACAAAATCTTTGGAATCTTAAACTGCTTATCTTTCACAAAATCACTGTTATTCGTGTCTTACACAGGAATGTAACAATTTCTGGCAAAACATTGATCTTCGACACCATCGTACTATCGCTAAGTTACACAATAACTTAATGTACCGGTACCTACTATTTTAAAATCCTCTTTGATATTCCCCTCATGCCTTTTCCGTTATCAAACGACATTTTGAAATTGTAAGTTACAGCAAGTTTGGTTAGTTTTAGTTAACTTATGTTAGGTTAATTTAGAAGAACAGTTTCATTTCTTAATTTAATCCCACATATTACACTTTGCCTAAACAAGGACAGTTGTCAATTTGTAATGATAATGCGTTTGAAGATATAAAAAAACAGAAGGAATATAGATCGTAAAGGAAAACAAAAATATCACATTTCAGAACTGTTATAGAAAGGGCCATGTGGCCCTAATGTAACTTTGCCTGAAAAAATAAAGGCAATTTTTCATTTTATTACATTGAAATGTTCATAAACTTAACCAGACTTATATCTATAAGATGTGAATAATTTTTTTTAAGAGGTTGGCGGCCTTTTTTAACCTTGCATTTGCCCGTCCACATAGACTAGCCGCCCGTGCGTTGATCGTATACAGCAAAGGAAGGAGTGAGCCGGTACAGTACAAAGATGATCTGTACTGATAAAATGTTTTCGGCAGTGATCGGGATCCGAACCCACGACATCGCTGCCTTGGGCTCGAAGTCCGCGACACTATCGACTGAGCCACCGACTCACCACTAAACCAGCTATCTTTCAGTTTGTGATAATTAGGCCTAATATATTGTTGATGATAAATAAAGGCCTACTTAGGTTGAACAGATCACGTATCTAGGCTTGCCTATAAAGAAGGAATTGGCTTATCAAATAATGTAGGCTATGGAAGGGGAGTTACGGTAGTTAAAAGCAGTCTCTTTATTAGGTCTAGGCCTAGGTTAGATTTTACCAATAGCCTAATGTATAAGTAGAAATAGAAGTGAAACATTAATAGGGCCTATTAAGTAAGACTAACTTACTTTTATAACAGTAGGCCTAACTTAGATCATTAACATTTTTACTTAGGGCTCTCCTATCAAAGAACTAAGTTATAGTTAAAAGCATAAAATATAGTAAGTTTAGTAGAAGCCTATCTTACTCTCTTGGGTAACGATTGGTAACTTATTTACTTAGCAAGTTGGATATTAGTACCAGTAGGCTATGTAGGTAAAAATAGGTGGACTGAAATAATAATTGGGCAACTACTTTTTCCATAAATAGGCCCAGTCTATTTCCTATCCCAGAACTATGTATGATGAACCTAAGCCTACCTTATTTTCCTGGGTAACAAGGCGGTAGTCAAGCTCTAGATGTCTCTTGATAGCATCACTAAGATGGATTGGTACAATGTCATCCTCAGGGCCCGAGGTAGAGGGGTCCGAGTCCCCGGCGGGCTCACTCGGAGACTCACACACCCTTTTGGCCTCCAGGCTCTCAGAAATGCGCTCCGACAGCTTGCGCCTTCGCTTCTTGCGTTGTTTATAAAGATTGCCACCACTGTAGGACGAACATAAAAAACACGACTTGCAAGTGAAATCCCTCATATTAACAATGTCTTCCTTAACCATAAAATGTTTAATGTCTGAGGAATATCTTACTTCTACTAGGCTATCTTACATGTCATAAATTAAAACTAGGCTAGCATAGGTTAAATCAGTGTTAACACTGTAAACTAAAGATGTTTAGACCTAACTAATCACTGTTTGTATTAAACTTTCTGTAGGCTAGATTAACACTTGTACAAAGACTCTATAGTACATTATCACTTAAAAACAACAGGCTTCAAACTTCTGAAGGTTTTCACTAAGATTTTGAAAGTGACAATAATGTAATTAGTATTTTATCCAAATGGAAAATTTGTCTAAAGAAAACAACACACCTCTACAGTCTAAAATTTTTACAGCTGTTTTGTTTTAGAGGTTGTGTGTATGACTTCTTCATTTCTTCTTCTTCCTGTTTGTGTTCAATAAGTTGCATAGAGTAGCTATAAGTTAATTGGTTGGACAGTGTTATGAGTGCCATTGATTTTAAAATATGAAACAAACTCATCACAAATACATAAATATATTTAATCAAGTTAAAGATTTATTTTAAGATTTATTATAAAATACCATAACTTAAGTGAAGAAAAAAACTGCAGAAATTTTTGACAGTGATGGCAACTAAGATAGGTTAAGAAAAACTTGCAGGGGTAAATAAATATTTATGTCCAAGTATGTTCATTTGTCATAACTTAAACGAATTTAGTTGGATTATAATCACTTACATTTTTTTTACATTTTTTTAAGAAGTAAAAATTGAATATATTGCAACTTATTAGTCTGCAAGGCTGCACTTTACTTTAGGTCCTACACTCATTTGAATGAAAATATCGATTATTCGATTGTTTCATTCGATATATCGTTTGGTTAGTTAGGTAAGGTTAACCTTACCTAACTAACCAAACGATATAACTTATCGAATAATCGATATATCGATTGATATTTTCATTCGAATGAGTGTAGGACATAAAGTAAAGTGCAGCCGTCTGCAATGATAACCCTTTTAGATGCATTTCTATATGCCTTTGATATTTGGCAATCTTTGCATTCTATTACTATGTGCCGGTTGTATTTACTGGTTTCACTGATAATAATTGATTTTTTATGCATCTAGTTCTTACAGTTTTCTCCACGCAGAAACCAAGAATGAAAAATGAAACTATTTATTATGTTTAACCCACTATTTAAACTGTGCAAAGCAGTCTGGGGGTGAGATAATTTACTATCTCAGTTTATTATAGCCTAAATTTTACGTTCTCAATATAACTTAACTTCAAAACACTTAATACAGTCACTAATCCTCATAAAGCCGGACCAACACTCCCCACAAGCCTAAATGAGAACTTATTAGTCTACAATGATAACCCTTAGTCACATTTCTAGATGCCTTGACATTTGGCAATCTTTGCATTCTATGTGCCATTGCAATTACTGATTTCATGAATCGTCTTCTTTTCATCATCTCCTAGCATAAACCCATTTAAACATTTACCTCTCTCTTTCTCATCCAAACCGCTACAGTGTTGGAAAAAATTACTGACCTAGAAATACAATTGGAGGTAGCACTGCCACAGCAACTCTGCTAGAAAATGAACACGCTGTAAACTTTTGTTATGTTAGTACCAACTAGAAGAATCAACCAGTTCACTATAAAGCTCATAAATCAGCTATAAATCAGTTATAAAGCCCATGGCTTTATAATTTATAATGGCTTATAATCCAACAATCATCTATTCATAAACTTGGTTACAAAATATAGGCCTACTAAGTACAATGTCTACAATGTACTTGACAATGTACATGGCCAACGTCTCTTGACTCTCTCATTCAGTACCTCCAGTTGTATCCCTAGCTCAGTGGAACAAATATGGAATTGTGTGTTGTGGTTTTGTTTGTTTTGCTTCACATATAAACAGCTGTTCACTCTCTAATACTTTAATACTTTTCGATGAAATGGCGACCATACAAAGTAGGTATTTTAAGCCAAGTATGAATGGAGATGAGTGTAGGATGAGTGGCGCAATCTTGTAGTCTTGTTAGTGACTAAGGCCGACATATTCCTTAGACACAGCTGTTAATTAATAGCCCATACAGCTAATGGCAACTAAGGGACCTACACTTTATAGTGGAATCCGAACCACATTTTCGTCTTGGTATATATGCCTTGGTCTACCGTCCACATACCATCCTCGTTGCTAGAACTTTAACTCGCCAAAACCACGATTCCAACTGCTGAGACATTGACTTTATTGTACCTATTTATGCACCAATAAAAGCTTTGAAGCCTTAAGAGACTCATACAAGTACTTAGGTTTGATTATTTCAGCTTCCAAACAAATATTGTAGAAACAAAATATTGGAAATTTTACTAATTTGCTTCCTATAAAAATACTTATCTAGAGTTGTGTATCAGCATAGATAAAACACACTCCCTTAGTGGATTTATTATCCTTATGGAACACCTAAAGCTAATTTTATTGTTAGTTCTGTTGAAGAGTTGCTTTGACCATAAAATAATTAACCTACCATTCTCAAGTGCAGTTTTAACTAATCTAAAGCTCGTGGAATTACATTTAATTTTAAATAATAGGTTTTGTGCTATGGATATTGCTTTTGGTAACATTACAGAAACAGTTAGGTAGCAACAATATTTTAATAAAACCAACAGTTTCTAAAATTATGTTCGCCCACTTAATTTGGATCACTAGATGTTTCAACTTCTATGTATGCAACCTGAAATTAATTGCCTAACTGCTCCAAGCAATATCCCACATGCGGCACTTCACTTTTTGAAGTGTAATTTTTATGGAAAGCTAATTAGAAAAATTTCTAATAAGTCGCTATTTTGCTTCTAAAAAAGGTAGAAAGCAGAAGTTTTAAAACTTACCTTAATAATTGTATTAAGTTTCAACGCTTTCAGAACATAAACGGGGTAGTAATATAAAATCAAACATCCGAACCTTGTTGTGGGACACACTGTATATTGGTTATAAGCTAAATTACAGAAATTCTATTGTACAAAAGCTTTTTTACAAAAATCACACCAAAAATAAAACAACAAAATCAAATACAAAAAATAATGTTAATATACCCAACGCCTTTCAACTTACGCTGTAAGCTGGGCTTTCTCCGCAAGCTCTCTTTGTAATTGCCGATTTTCTTCTGTGTCTTTCAAAACATAATCTTCTGTGACAAATCGGTCCCAAGTAGAATTCCAGCCCTGAAAAACACAGCTAAATAATAACGGATACCGGTACGGTAGCTTCAGAAATTATTAGCTATAAACACTAATCAAATTTAGTGAAGTTTAAACAATATGATGGCAATCCCAAAAAGATAGACTTGACAAAGAAAATGTAATAGATCATCAGTCTAAGCTATTACTTGCCCATTATGAATGAAATTGAACAAAATTATCACACAGCAAACAAATAAAACACTTGCTTTAACATTAACACATGTTCAATACAACACAGATGTCAGCCTAACTTGATGTTTCTTTTTGTTTAATGTTTTAAACTTTACAGCATACTAAAAGTCTTCTTTTCTATATTTTATAGTTTATAAACATTAGACACCTACCTGAAAATGGATTAAAAACTCTACAAGTCTTTTCCCACTTTCATCTTTCCCGACAGTAATACTTAGAACCTGAAAAAACAAAATTGTGTAAACATTAATTTACGATAACAACAACTTTGTCCTAATAAGATATAACATTATTTATTTAAAGGTAAAATTTTAATAGAGTTTTGCCGATTAAAAATTACATTTTTATGTGACTGCTTACAGGGTTTCAACGATGAATCCGAAAATTGAATAATTTTTTAAAGGGAAGAGTCCTAAGTGTCAGAAAAACAAAATAAAAGATTACGAAATTAAGGTTCCTTGAGCAGTTCGGACGGTTGTTTATGGCGAGTCCAAGTTCTAGCTGCGACTGACACCTGGAGGGAGAAAGGTATTTGAAGAGCAAACAGCTGTTTACATACAATGAAAAACAAGCAAAACCACAACACAACAACATGTAAACAAAACTCTAGGAAAGGTTTACAACCGTAATAGCTTCATCCTAAAATATAAATTATATTTTAGAATATACATTATAAAATGAAACTGTTCTTTAACAAACTAAAAATTAACCTAACTTATCTAAAATCTCAATATCCCATTTGATGACTGAAAAGGCATGTGAGAAAGATAGGTCGGGCTTTGTGCGGGTTTATGACAGTCTGTTGAAGGTTCAACATTTATCCTAAATTCACTGACTTTTTCGAATTTTTTTGTATTATGTACCAAGCGAGGGGCCCCTCAAGGTACAAACTCCTGGGCCACCGTACCTTTCAACGGCTCTATGTGATTGTGACTATAAAAATGTACAATCTGTTAATTTTTTATCAGGAGATGGTATTTAATTTGAATAATTCTTCTCATTGTGGTACCTACTATGGCGGTGGGACACACGGGAGGGACTAAGGCTAACATATCTTGTAGTGTCAGTGTTCGCCGTTAGAACCGCAAGTTGAAAAAATTAATTTTTTTTATTTTTAGTTACAAAATTAGCTTTTTAATTATAAAATATTGTTTTAAAATTATAAAATAAATTTTTAATTTTTTAAATAAAACTGTCATAACATAACCTAACCAACCAGACTTGCTGATAATATAAAAACTGTATAAGATAAAAATCTAATTAATGATTACTTATAATTTTTAATTAATTATTAAATTAATTTTAAAATTTAGTATTATAAAATTAAACTGTCATAACCTAACCTAACCAACCAAACTTGCTGATATAAAAATTTGCTGACAAAAAGTTAGTGCTACCAGCGGGATTCGAACCCGGGACCTCCTGAACACCAAATCGAAATGCTACTAACTATGCCACCAACGCCGCTGAAAACTCATCGTTTCGTTACGGTAATTGTGTTGCCTCAAGAGTAGACATTAGCCACTAGAGATATGACGTCACTACACCTATAGCCTTAGTCCCTCCCGTGTGCCCATTCCCCTACTATGGACCTTTTCCATTAATTCACTAGCCTACCACTTTATAAGTTGTACCAAACAATACACAACGTAATGTTTAGGCTATGCCTTGGTACCTACTACAGTAACAACCTAAACCCATACAACCTGATTAACAGATGATAACTTAACATTTTAACGTTAAAAAAATTTTGGTGAAGTGACTTAATGAAAAAGGCAATTAATGTGACAAGAGAGACAATTAATTTACATGTTCAATAAAATAGAAACAAGGTTCTACAAAGACGCTAAAACATCTACTTAACAACTGAATTCATCCATTAAGAATCTAGAACCTAGATTCAGTATCTAGGCTATTTAGTAGGCTACATAATTGTTTGATTTAAATGGTTTTGAATCACCATTACTGACAACTTTCTCAATATCGGTATATAGGACATTGATCAAGCATTTTGTTCACTGTTTGGATTAGGAAAACACAAATAAAACAGTAAAACTTACAAAAAAGGTAAATTGTGAATGCAAGTTTATTCTAGTGATCCCAATATTAATGAAAGATATTAGCATAGCATTCTCACCGAACGTACAGTCTCGTTTATTTTTATGTCATTATCCAGGAATATCAACACCAACTGATCATCCTCTCATTTTGTTGCCTCCTAGCTAACTTATAGCTACATTATACTTGACTGTATATTGCCATGTTTTATTACTTTATACTATTGTCTGCTTTAGATGATGCGTAACAAATTAAATGTTTTAATACTAATTACCGGTACTTGTGTGTTGTAAATTTATAGCTATCATTCTTCGCTTGAGATAGGATAGGCTACAGTAAGTTATGTGGACACATTGAAAGATCATTAATTTTGTACTTGGAAATTGGATTCAAAATATAATATAGCCTAAGTTACATTATATTACCAGTATTGAATAACTGAATGTGGGTGGACAGTTAAAATATTATTCCTTGATATTAGAAAATAGGACAATCTATATGTATTAATAGGCAAGCAGTTTTCTTTTCACAGTGATAACTCGATAACGGCTAAACGGATTTTAACATTTGAGGTGTCAAATTAAAGATATTTTCATGTAGACGTGCAAATACGTATATTAAGAAAGGGCAGCATTTAAGTATGGTTAAGGGCTTAAGTTTGGGAACGGCGGTGCTATCTGTTGACATTAGATCAAACTCAATTCACTTTGTTTACAACTACACATATGGTCATAGTTTGAAAAAGTTTTTAAGGTTAACCACAGACTGCAGGACTTAATACTTCCAGAGCAGAGTCGGAATTTTTATTTTTATTTTAACATCTGTTAACTAAGTCTGGTCCATAAATAAAGAGACATCAAATTGTTTGTTATACTTGAATTTATTTACATTACATCGTATTTTACTGAATTATCATGTAGTTTTGGTTACAGATCGGTGTAATGAAGTGAATGTTTAAAAGTGATTATTCACAGTGCAGTTACCCATTATATTACCATTATTATTATGTAATTTACAATGTGTATCAAAGTTCCTTTGTAGTGTTTTCTGTTTGGTTAACTTTCGTATTTTGTTCAAACTTAAAATTAAATGCCACCAGTAAGACGAAGAACTGTGAGTTGCTGGAGGGAACGCGAACGCGACCGCTTGTATCAACCTCCCAATTGAATATTTGACGGATACAGAGTGGCAGTACTGCCAGGTGATACATCCAACCTCAGACAAATTAACGTTAAATATTCACATTGTGGTGGCTTACATTTAAAGCAAGGAAAGACTGGCCAAGACAGTTCAATTTTTACTCTTTGTTGCCATAAATGAAAGGTTTGTTTACCTCATTTGCGAAATTCAACATACTTTCAGGAACTTATTGGAATCTGAAAACAGGGCTGTGAGACTTAGGTCCAGACATTATTTGGATAAAATTTGTCAATTCAATTACCCCTTTGCCATGGTCAGCTCTGAGCCAGCTTTAAAGATGAGAGGATCGCACAGGGAATCTACAATTTCAACATCCATGACACGTTTTACCACCAAGTAGGAAATTTAATTCCTCAAGAAGGTCATGATCCGGAATACGATTAGATGTATAAGTACGACGTTGGTATTTAAGATTGGTTGGTGGCAAACCCATTTTACTCCTTGCAGGAGTTTTGGAATTCTGATACCCACACAATGAAATAGAAAGAAACGAAGAAAAAAAAATACACATATATATATATATACTAGCTGTACCCGCGGGCTTTGCCCCGTTTAACTTCATATTCGTATTTGCATGCCTCAATCATGTCCTGGTTGAAGTTTGTTCGCTACGCTCACTCACCTTTTGTTTGCAAATTAGCTGTTATAAATTTAAAAAAATATATAGTGCTGCACCCTGTTGGTAATCCTTGTAACTTTAAAGCTATTGAACATCATAGAACAGAACCAACTTGTTTAATTGAAACAGCTGTTAAGATTCATTAATTCCTTTTAAATATGAAAAATCATAAGGTTAACATGGGAAACTCCAGAGCCACTGGGGCGGAGCCCGAGAGTCCGATCAGAATAAAAACTACTTAGTTTTCCTATTTAATGCCCAAAGAATCAGTGTACCGAATTTCAGCCTCCTAGGTAAATGGGAAGTGGAAGAATTAGTGATGAGTGAGTGAGTGAGTCAGTCAGTCAGTCAGTCAGTGAGTCAGTGAGGGCTTTGGCTTTTATATATTTAGATATATATTTTTTAACTAAACCTTGCCTACAGGTATGAGTGTCGTTTTTTAAGTTTTCCGTTTTGCTTTTTCTCTGCTTTGTTAATTTTTATATTTTTTTCTACGCTGCATGTTTTACAGTTTTGTTTTGCAGTTTTATTTATTTATCTATTTTGCATGGTTTGCTCTTTGGACATTTTTATATGCTCTTTGGACATTTTGTTTTGTGAGTCAAGAAGATATGCATCTTTTTATTTTATTTTAGTTTAGTGTTAGTGACTTGGCCAATTGTTAAAAACCGAACGGCTCAATAAATCTTGAATCATGGCACTGGAACCCAACTGAGAATGAAACACAATTCAAACAAAAAATGCAATGAAAACATATGTGGGAAATAGGGTCACAATGCCAACCCATTTGTCCAATCTTTTGAGGCTGTGGCAGAAATTTGTAGGGACGAGAGCTCCGAGGCGTAAAGTGAGATTCTTATGTAGCCTAAAAGATTTTAAGATACAAAAGAAGTTACTTCCCTTGCTACAATGATGCTACCTGTATAGATGTCACAGCTATTTTTAAAGCTGAAAACAGAGCACCACCTGGCCAAATAAATCTCGTAGTTTTTTTTTTTCAACCACTAATAATGTTAAACGCGTAAGTTATTTGTTCCATATCCGTCGTTAGATCCACTTGCTTACCCTCTTATGTTACAAACCGGAGACTTAGGTTGGGGTCCCTAATTATTTAAACACGCCTAAAACAGAGCATATCGTAGAAATAATTTTACAATTCAAGTTGCAGTTTTGCTTGATTTTGAGCAACGGGTTATCTAGTTGTTATTAATTCACAAAGATGGCATGGGATGAACTTAGTCCCAAGCCAAATCAACTAAAGTTAGTGTAATTTTAAACTTAAAATTAATCTTGAACCGACAGATTTAAACTTCATCAGGTATAACTTATTATACTCAAGTCCAC